AAGATGACCACTTTAACTTCAAGAGAATTGGGTTTGAGGTACCCATGGAATATTCAGGAAAATTATTTTTGAAATTAAACATAAAATGATCCAACAGCAGTTTGGGAATGTAGATGTGGCTCTCAGGAAAGAAGGCCAGGGCTGGAGGGCTGGGTTTGGGGGTAACTGCAGTGAGTTTTGAGGCCACTTGGGTTTGGGTCCTGAGAGGCAGGGTTTGTGTCAAACAGTTTCCCTAATTCTTTGGAAGCCTATGATTCCTCTCTGCAACCCCAACCACTTTCTGTCTCACTCTCTGTCCCAGCCTCCCAGTGTTTTCTTTCTGTCTTTGCTTCTCCATCCCTATCCTACATGTTCCAGCTTCACCTGTGTGTCCGTGCCCAGGCCAGCACCTGTCACATGGAGGCGCACAGTAAATGTTTGTTCAACTATAGAAGTGCAGGGATAGTACTAATTTGCTCTCTCTTTCCTTCTAATCACTCACGTTATTCGTTGTTCTTGGTCAGGAATTAAAACAGGAATCGCTCCCATTTTAAAAGTCCCAGTTCTGGGCTGCACGACCAGAAGATATCTAAGTAAGTGCATCAACTTGTGGGCCCCAGTTCAAAGGTTTGCAGTGGGGTCTCAGTCCCAGAGGAGTGCGCAGACAGGAGCCCCGGAGAGCAGCCCACACAGAGACAGGGGCAGGCAGAAGTGGGGTGAGCTAGGACTCAAAGCGCCATGTCTAGGAGTGATGACTGCAAGCTGCCAGTTGGGACTGGGAGGGAATGATGGTGCCGTTACATGGTAGGCACTATACATTCAGTCTCTCATTTAACGATTGCAATCATTCTCTGGGGTTAATAATTTTATCCCTATTATATAAAGGGGAAAAACCCACTATAAGATTGGCATTATTATCTCCATTTTATAGATCAAGGTTCAAAGTAGGTGAGAACATTGTTCATCTAGTAAGGGACGGAGGCAGGATTCCCACCTGGGTGGGCCTGACTCCAGTGCCTGTACATGTTCTGACACTGCAAGAATTGGCTCAGGAGCTGGGAAACCCAGAGCCCAGTAGTGTGGGGCCTGTCATTGGCCTCCCACTGTGTTGAGCTGGGTAGGGGGGCCTGGGTTGCAGCTGCTGAGATGGTGGTGGATACCGAGATCGACCTGGTTAGGGCAGCCTGCTGGCAGCAGGCTAAGTGGCAGGTCAGCAGCATCAGAATCAAAGGTCAGGGGAATTTGGACCCTATGAGAATCCACCAAATAGAAACATGAGCACAAACATATGAATAAGCAATTGATGGTAGAGGAAATACAGCTTGCAAAAAACAAAAGCCAAAACAGACTAAACCACTGCAAAACAAAATGATATATTAATAAAAAGATTCTCAACCTTATTAGTAAGTGGAGACATGGAGGTTAAATACAATGTCTGTACCCATTGAATTGGCAAAAATTTTAAAATCTGACAATACCAAGTATTTGCAAGAATGTGGAGTTAAGTGTGGTTAGTATATACTGGTGGGAGTATACATTGGGGCAACTATGTTGCAAGACAATTTGGCAATGCCAATAAACCTAAGGATGTGCAAATACGATGCCCTAGGAATTCCACTCCTAGATTGAGACCTTTAGAGGAACTGGAAGAATATTTATAGCAGCACTGTCTATTATAGCAAAAACTGGGAAACCACTTAAACACCCGTGGACAGGAGAATGCATAGGTAAATTGCAATTGATTTGTGCAATGAAGTACCATACAACAATGAAAATAAATGGACTCAAGCCACATGCAACAACAGGAAGGAATTTCATAAACATAATGCTGACTGCAGAAAAATGCAAATTGCTATAAGCAATATGATACCACTTATGTCAAGTACAAAACCTTGTAAAACCAAACAATATATGCATGCAATAAATCTCTAAAGAAAATAAGGAAGTAATAAGTGCAAAGCTCAGAGTAACGGCCAATCCAGCTGAGGAAAGCAGAGGTATGAGTTCTAAAAAGGCATATGATTTCTTGGTTTTCTTTTATTTCTAACACTAGAATTTCTGGATTTTAGGCATATACATGTACACATATAGGTGTTCATTTCATTAGTTTTATACCTTATACATTTGATATATATTTTTTTCTCTTTTGAAGGGAAGATGTATTTCATAACTAATAAACTACTGAAAGATCTGAACAAATTAGAAGGAAAGCAAGACAAGAAGCAATTGGCAATTGTATAGACAGGACTCCACAGGACTCTCTGGGGAATCAAAGGGCAGAAAAGGAATTGGGGTCCATATCAGGCTGGGGGTACAAAAATCTGTGGAATTTATGTCCTCTGGTTGGCTATGTCTCCAATATTGTCTTTTCCTATAACAGCCTTTGCTCACAATGTCCCCTCCATCTGCAATGCTGTTCCTCTACCTTCACTTGTCTAAAGTGTGTCCTCAAGTCTTAGGTCAAATTTTACATTCTCACGTTTATTCCCCATTTACTGAAAGCCCACTACATGCCAGGCCTGGAACAGCCAAGAGTGGACAAGCTGTGTCCCCAGGCTTGCCGAGGGGAGCAGGGAACATGGACAGACAAAGGAGCAGAGGCCCATGCAACATGAGTGCTTCTCCAAATTGCTGGTGCATAAAGGTCAGCTGTGGACCTGTCACAGAGCAGATTCCCAGGCCTCCCCAGAGATCCTCCTGGGCTAGGTCTGTGTGGGGCACAGGAATCTGCTCTTAAGAATCTCTCCCTGAATTTGATGCAGCTGGTCCCCAACCTCACTTGGAGAAACAGGGCCTGTTGGTGGGATAGATGTTGTGATAATAGCAGAACTGCTTGGGCATGGCAGCCCTGAAGAGGGCCACCTCCCCCCCTGAGGTGTGGGCACTAAGTCGGGGCAGTTTCCAGGAGGCCTCCCCGTAGAGCCTCCTTGTTGGAAGTCACGCCTGTGTGATGGTTATTTATGGATGTGAGCGCATCTCCCGCTGTGGGGGGCATTCCTCCTTGGTGCACCTTCGCTTCAGCATGGAGGCCTGATGCAGTGTGTGCTCAGGAAGTTTTACTTAGTGGGTTTGCAGAGCAGCATTCTGGGCTGGGGAGTAGCTTGGCGTCCAGGCCTTGAGTGGCACTGGGGCCTACGGGCCATCAGGTACTTGCCTCTTTGGCATGTTCAGTTTGGCCTATCTCCTCCACACATGTGCGGGGACTAGGGCAGGACACTGGTCTGAGTTTGACCAGTATTCCCACTTGAGTCAGGGATCAGGGTCGTATCTGTAACCATGATATAGTCAAGGAGACTGGATTGGTTCAGACATTTCCACATTAGAGATTCTGTAGCCTCTTAGCAAAGGTCTTGATCGGTGCAGGAAAGAGGAAAGGGGATGAGGGCCAGACAGGTTGAGAGGTCTCTTATGTGCTTAGGTCTCTTAGATGCTTCCTGTTTCTAGGCCCAGAGCACGTGCCCTTCTCTTCCCTGAGCCCAAATGAGGCACCTCTCGAAGGGCCTGTTAGTCACACACCTGGCATGAATCCAGTCCTGCCAGGGGCTGCCTGGCTGCTGTTCATTCCCTTTTATTAAGCACGTCCAGGTGAGTTTTATTGCGGACAGTTCCCTGGGCTCCTGTTTCCACATTTGTCTCCTTTGAGTCTGAGATTGCCAAAGGCTTTCACAGCTAATGGACCTTACAGCTCCCAAGAGCCATTTAAGGGAGGCACAGAACTCACAGGTGGTAATTAGTCAATTGAAACAGACCTCTGGAGACGCACTGGAGCTGAGTGGCAACAAGAGGAAGGAACAGGAATGTTCTGGCCTGTGGCAGGTGTGGGGACCATCAGCACAGGCTATGCCTCACCTCTCCCTACCTGCCACTCCTAACTGGGGAGGGACTCCCTGGTGTTTGGTGGCAGGGTTCTCAGGCAGCCTGGTGTCCAGGGGTAACTAGGGGCTACAGTAGCACCACTGAGCTAGCCTTGACAGGTTACTGCTCCCTTTTTCTCTAATAGGTGACCCCATGATGGAGGTGGAGGGCTGAGCTCGGGTGCCATTTCTCACAAGGCAATGTCATGCCCTGTTCAAAACCTGGACTGTGAAGCCAGACCCATTTGGGTTCCAATCCCATACCAACTACTTTAAAACCAACTACATTGATCTTTGGAAAGTCAATGAAATGTTCTGTGCCTTGGTTTTCTCGTCTGTAAAATGGGGATAATAATACTGACCTCAGAGGGTTGTTGTAAAGAGTAGATGGTCTAATAACATATGGACTCTACCTAGAGTGGTACTTGGCACATTGTAAGCACTTGATGAGCAGAAGCTATTTCCATGCCAAGAGCAGGCGTGATCAGGGCTGGGAAGCTGACGTCCTTATCTGGCATTCACGTCCATCTGCCTTGCTCCTCACTGGTGGGGCACAAACAGCAAGGCCTCCAGGGAAGCAGCCTCCTTCCTGTGGGGGAGGATGGTGAATAACAAGATGGGGAAGGAAGACTGAGCTCAGCCTGTTGCTAAATCCAAGGAAGGGAGGAGGGAACCAACATTTCTTGAGCGTCTCTTCTGGATCACGCATTGCCTGCTTTGTCTCTTTAATCCCCCAATAACCTGTTAATGGAAACAGAATCCCAAAGAGGCTAAGTGACTAATGGCAAGTCAGATAGCAAGGAAAAGGGGACCAGGATGGAAGCTCAGGGATGTGAGGTTAGTAAGTGACTGTTCTTTCTACTACCTTTTGCTGTGGTGTATGACCAGGGTCCAGCCTCTGGACTCTTGGCTTGATGTCTGCTATCTGGAAAGCCTGTGGGAGGTCACTGATCTCTGCTGGACTCAAAGGAGAGGCCTCCAGATGCTAGAGTTTGGATCATTCTGGAGGCCTTATCACCTGGTTGTCCCTAGTTCCACACTGGGTCCCGGGCTGTTCTGGGAAGCCAGGTCTAGCCGTTTAGGGGGATCTTGAGTCTGTCTCATTAATGTCATGAGCAGTGATGCCCTCCCAGCATGCACAGGGAAGCTCCCTCTCTCCATCTGCAGGTGGATGGTGTTCTGTGCTTGGCCGATATCCTGACTGACGACAGCCACTCAGAGGCCACGCGGGCTGAGGCTGCAGCCGTGGTGGCCCAGGTCACCTCCCCACATCTGCCCTTCACCCAGCACCTCAGTAGCTTCCTGGAGAGCATGGAGGAGATTGTGACAGCCCTCATCAGTGAGTCACCCTGGCTGGGTGGGACCCCTGGGAGAGAGGGCCTTGGCACTGTCGTCTGCAGGAAGAGCCAGGGAGGCCTTCGTGCCCACCGCTCACTGCAGCCCAAACGTCTCCTACATACATGGTGACACTTGCTGAAATCCCACCATTAATGGATCAGAATTGGGCTTTGAAGAGCTCTGCTTTCAAGAGTTTCCTATTAAAATGCATGCAGCCCCAAAAGAGGCAAGTTGAATGGTGGGCAATTTGGGATTAATTGGCCTTTCAAAAGGGAGTTCAGGACAAGCCCTGGGGGAGGGAATGGGGCCTCAGATTTTGAGGTTCAGATCCTGACCTGAGAGACTGATAGGCTTTGTTCCTTAAGTCTCAGTCACTGTACCCAATGAGTGTGGCAACAATGACCAGGGCTCATGGCTTATTGGAGAGAAGTCCCACCAACAGTCTCACGTCGTGGGGCCTTAAAAGTTTTGACTCTTTAGAGTCCTCTAGTCAGACATGTGTTCCTGGCAGGAGAGTCATAGCCTATATTGAGAATCTGCTGTTCTCCTAACTTTCCCTTGCTAAACTGAGGAAACTAGAAGGACTCATCTGGATGCAATCCTCAGGGACCTTGTTTTACAAACCACTTCCTTTCTTTTAAAAGTGCTCGTGGTGATCTCTGTTTCTACTTCTCTCCCTTTCTCTTTTGCTGTCTCTATATCCATATCTTACTGCAACCTAATGAAAATTAATTTCATCAGAAATTTTAGGGTTCACTCTTGGAGTCATCATACCAGGGCTGGGAATATCTGGGCTAGCACAAATCTGAGATAGCACAATCTAAGTCAGACCTTGGGTTTGGGTTCTGGTTTTGCATTTATCCATTCAGCAAATAGCCATTGACCATCAGGCACAGTGTGAGATCCTGTCATTGCCATAACACGTTATAAAGCTCTCTTTACAATTTTCATAATATTTAGAACAAGAGTTTGCAAGTCATTTTTTTTTCAAATGTCCTTCTAGCTCTAGAATTTTAAGATCTGCAAGTACTTTGCACATAGAAGACATCAGGTAAGTTGACTTTATGGATGATTCTAGTTTACAGGGGCAGTGGTACCCACAGGCCAGGCTGGGAGAAATCAGTTTGCCAACATCCCACATTTATACAAAATTGAGAAAACACGGAGTCCAGTTGAAGGTCTTGGCTGGAAGGAGCTCAAGAGACCATAAACTCCCACGCCCACTCTCAAGGAGAGGAGATCTTGGCCTAGAGAGGTCAAGGAGTTTTCTCAAAGCCACAGGACAGCGTTAGGATTCCCTTGGGCCAGAAGCTTCATGCTCAGACATCTGCCAGAGCCCAGCAAGGTAACTGAGTTGAAGAGAGCCAGATGGAAGAAGAAAATAAGGGGATTTGAGTCCTGTATTGAATTAAAAACTGATGAAAGGGGGACAGTCACCGGTAAACTCCAGTTGATTGTTGCCATGTAGGAAATGCCTAGACTTTTAAAGATAAGACCAAAAATGGTAAGTTTTATAGAAAAATCTCCCAATTTATAAATGTTATCAAATAATAAAACAAATAAACCAAAACAAATGTAGTCCAAATGACCTTTCACTGTTGGCGTATGTCCGTCCATTCCTGCTTCTTTGTCCAGGCTGGATTTCTCCCTGGAGGTGATCTTCCTTCTTATTTCATCCTGATGAAGATGCACTGTAGAGTCCACTCTGAGATTCAGCAGATACCTTCTGGGCGGGAAGCCAGGGCTCTGTTCTTTGGTGGGAAACAGCCCTCCAATTTCTTGCCATTCCCTGGAAACATTTATAAATGAGTCACTGGAATCCTCAATTTAATCTTCCTAACACATCCCAGGTGACTCAGACTATAGTTCAAATAAATGTGCAGCAAAATTAAAAGGCACTTAGATGGTTGTGTTAATAATTGCTGTGTCGGCAGCAACAGCAACTGCATGAGAATGAGGGGGAGTGTTTGGACCTAGAAGAAATCTCATAGGAAAGTGGACCATTGAGCTCTGTAGTCTTACCCCAAACCCTGGATGCAGGGAGATGGCCTAGAAGGCATTGAATGGACTCTAGTGGTTCCTCCAAAATTAGATGACAGGGCAGTCATTGGATAAGGGAAATCGTAGAGTTCTTTATTGCTTGGCTAATCTGTTGTCCCAGCCCTGGGAGGTTAGATCAAGATTCTGAGTTGTTTAGGGGTCACGCCTGGGCCATGGGGAACAGAGCTGCCCAGAGGCGGGCATTACCCTCCCAGTAGGATTGAAACCTAGGTCTGCAGGAGCATCACTGGGAATGAGTCAAAGAGGCTGAGATACAAGAAGCAACTGGAGTAGAGAAAGAACGGGGGCTCTGGAGTCAGGAAGACCGGATTTGATTCTAGCCTCCAACAATTACTTACTGGCCATAAGACCACAGGCAAAACACTTAACATTTGAATCTTCAATTTCTTCACTTGCAAAATAATGATACAAAGTGAATTGTTATAAGGATTAAATGACTTAATGAGGTTAAAAAAAAAAGTATAGCAGTGCCTGACACAGAGTAAACACGCAGTGCATGGTAGCTGCTGTGGCGGCTACTAGCTTTTCTGAGACTCAGAAAGTTGCAAATGAAGACAATCATTTTCTACTTTGAGGGTGCTCAGCATTTAATGGCACAGTGAGAAGTGCACTGCAGGTGTTCGATTAATGTTATTGTCTGTCCCTTTGTAGGTAGGAACCAATAAGTGAAGTCACTGGAAGGTGTTATGAGGTACAGTTGCAGCATCAGATGCTGGAAGTTCAGACTCTTTGTGGAGAGGGAATAAGTAGGGACCAGACTAGAGCATAGTTCACTCATTCTCCTGAGCTTTCTCTCTGGGGGCTATTTTCCTGAAGTGTGGCCTCTCCTCCTGTGGGTTTGTAGAGGTGTTACCAGCAGGAGAGGGCTGGGACCAAGGAAGCACCCTGATTGGTGGTTAAGTTGGTGTTGAGGGTCAGAAGTCAGGTCCCTTGGGCTGGGGCAAGCCCCGTGGACAGAGCCCTGCTTCCTCTAGAGGTGGGAGCCCATCGCATGTCCTATGGAGCCCAAGGGCAGATGTGTCAGGTGGTGGGGGAGGAATGGGGCACTCTGCTCCTAAATGGTCCTTAGTACAATCACAGATGGTAAGTGGGGAGATCAGGTGAGGGCTGGGCTGTGACCACTAGGATCAGAAAGAGCCTGACATTCAGGGACTTGGCGTGGGACTTTTCTGCAGCCAGATGACCCTTACCCTGGGGCCAAAAGGAAGTCCTGAGGCTCTGCTGATGGCAGCAGGAGAGATAGAGTCACTTTTATTTATTTATTTATTTTACCTTCAGCCTCTTTCTTAAGGCAAATTTAGCAGCAGTCTAGTGTGCATTACTACAGACACAAATGGACAAAGACCTCTTTCCTGCCTCACAGCCTTTGTACATGCTCTTTCTTTAGTGTAGAACATTCTGTTCCTCCAAATATTTTTGTGACTTGTCCCTTTCCTCAAGGGCTCAGTCGTAAAGTCACATTTTTAGGGATACCTTCTTTATGAACCTTAGTGGGCCCCTAGTTATTCTGTGTCTTAGCATTTCTTTATTTTCTCTTTTATATTATCAGAATTTGCAGTTATATTAATTTTTCAAAAGTTCATTTTCTCTTGCCTACTAGTAGAAGGTAAGCTCACCTGTTTTGTTCTCTGCGCCATCCCAGAATCGATACTTGTTGGATGAAGGAGTGAATAAGAGTCACATAGCAGGTCTCAAATCCCAGCTTTGCCACCTATGTGGATAGTCACATTTTCCCCTCTAGTAACTACCTTCCTCATCTATAAATTGGATGTTATAACATCAGCCCAAGTGATCTCCCAGTGCTATTGTAGGAACCACGTGAGATAACTGATAAGAAAACACAAAACACTGAAGCTACTTTCTTCCTCTTTGCCATGCAGAACTGTGCCAAGAGGCCTCATCTGGGGAAGTTTTCCTGCTGGCCTCTGCGGCCCTTGCCAACATCACATTCTTTGACACAATGGCCTGTGAGATGCTCCTGCAGCTGAATGCCATCCGAGTTCTCCTGGAAGCCTGCAGCGACAAGCAGAGGGTGGACACGCCTTACACCCGGGACCAGGTGAGAAGCTCAGAAGGGAGCAGGCCTGTAACCATGGAGACAAAGGATAGGAGGCCAGTGCTTTTGGGGGCAACAGGAGACAGCATGGCCTGGCAGCACATGGTCAGTTTCACTGGACCCTTTTTCTGGCATCCCGGGCTTTGCATGCTGTAGGAAGGTAAAGGAATATGTTTTTGAAATCTCTCATTGACCTTGGAGCCTCTCCCTGCCCACTTTGCTCATCCAACTGCAATAGGGCCTTCCTCTATCTGCACTCAGACTGTCCATCCTGGGAGGCAGAGAGACCCATGGGAATGTTCCCGGACCTCCTCCAGTGGTCTGTGTCCCAGCCATGCAGGAGCCCATCTGACATTGTAGTGTGATGCTTCCCTCTCTGCCCCCATAAAGAACAGGGACTTGGAGCAGAGGCTTCATTCTGGGACTCAACCTCTACATCAGAGACAATTTTTTTTTTTTTCTGTATTTGGGCTTCATGAAAGGTTTCATTTTGATTTACTACTAAAAGTGTTTAAAAGCATAGAATAAAGAGGTTTTAAAGGCTCTTTGAGATCTGATGTCCTGGAATTTTATCCCATCCTACCTCTGGCCACACTCAGCCTCCCTTTTCCCCACCAAGAGCTGGGGATGGTAGATCAGGTAGGTTTTGGGACCCTGTAAATTCTATCAGGCACCTGATCTCTAAGTAGGAGGAGCCTTTAACCCCCAACCCTGCTTATCCTTGTCTGTGCTTTAGCCCCACCCCCACCTGTTTCTTCCAGTCTCATCCCTTAGCTGAAGCTGCCACCCCAGCCACTCCAGGAAAGCCTTCCCTACTGGCCTCAGCTCTCTGGAGTTGCCTCCTTTGCTTAACGCCCATACCTCACAACGCAGTGTTGAGTTATCTAATGGCATTTATTCCTCTTAATTATTTAATGTGATTTTTTATTTTTTTCCTCTGAGGCCATGACCTGTGTTCTATACTTCCTCACCATTTCTTAAGACTTCTAGCCCAGAGCTGGCACCCTTGGTGATGTTCCCCAAATGCGTGTTTGGGGCATAAAAAGGAAGAAGCAGGATGGTACCACATCAGTTGTTTCATATCCTTAGAGTCGCCTGAGGAAGGGCAGCTAACCATAGAAGCTCCTATTCAGAGAGAATTCTCTAGCATCTAAGCATTTGCCTATGGGGGTCTAATAATAACGTGGTACTGGTGATGTTTGCTCCATTTTATACCTGAGAATATTGACATTCAAGGGGATGTTCCCCAAATCATATGGTTGGCAAGTAGCTAAACCATAGTTTTAAAATCAGGATTAAATTTAAATGCTGACTTAGACCTTGAATTTTGACTCTCCTCTGCTGCCATCCTTGCAAATGATGTGAAGGAGGCAGTGCAGCTGGGGAGTCAGAGAGACTGGGTGTTGGTCCTGCCCCGGCCAGTTATTAACTGGGTGACTTTGAGCGAGTCAAAGCCTCTTGAGTGTTGGTTTTCTCCTCTGTTAACTGGGACGTTAATGTCTGCCTTGCAGGGTTATAATGACGATGAGTGAGATACTACCTGTAAGAACTTTATATAAGGCTTAGTCCTACTAAGTTCATCATAAATGGTGAATATCATTAATTTTCAAACCTGATACTGCAAAGAAGAACACAAATAGTAAATTATCCAAAATCTTCAAGTTGGCCTCCCAAACCATGTATGATGTGTTTCCAGTCTTCCTTTCCAGTGTAATCTCTTACTTTTAAGACTTGGACAAGCCCCTGTAGTGACTAGACATGGCAGTACCAACAGATAAACAGTGGTGGCCCACTGGGCTGGCCACCAGCCTAGCTGCTTCCTGAGTGGGGCATACCCAGGGTCTACTGTGGTCATAGCCTTTGGCTGTGGGCAGGGTGCTGGAGGGCCCACCAGTGTTTCTGCCTTACTCTGCCCTTTTCTTCAGTTAGATGCCTCCAGTTGCTGGATCTGTCACCTACCTGACGTGATTTTAGGTCCCTTCACCTTCAAATGCTTCTCCTGTGGCCAACTCTGGTCATTTCATACAAGATCCAGTAGTGAAGCTGCAAGAATGGAAATTTTGGAGGCAGATGACCTGGGTTTGAAGCTTGTTTACTGTTAATAATCATTTCACTTAGGGCAATTCACTCTTAGCCTCACTTTCTTCACCTGTAAAATGGGGACAAATAATATATACTTTATAAAGTTGAGATAAGAATTAAATAAACTAATGAATATAGACTCTTGGTACAGATCCTGGCACACAGAAATGATTAAATCAGTGGAAGCCACTGTTGATATTGTTATCAGTGGCCATGGCAGCCTGTGACTCTGTGTGCAGAGACCCCCTTCTTATTTCAAGGAGTGACCGGCCCATCTCTTGAAGCCTCACTGATTCCCAGGCAGGAGGGGCTCAGGGTAGGGAGAGAATGTGGTCGAGCTGTAGGCAGATCGTTCTCTCTGCGTCTGGAGGCAGGAGTTTTCCTGTGCCCCACTGTCTGAGCCAGGCTTGTCTCCGTGTCCTCAGGATGGCTTCACCTTCTGCCCTGGCTCAGAGCAACCACTTAGCTAGTGAGAGTGCACCCATTAAAGAAACAAATGGCTCTTTCCTGTAGCAGAGGGAGGATTAAGGTGATCAGAGGGCTCTCTGTAATGAAGACAAAGAAGATGAATTAGCCTCTGAAGTGCTCACGGCCCCCTGAGATACTTAGGAGATTAAATGGCCCGTGAGGCTTCCGGTAATGAATCTGCCAATGATGCCAACGCTGTGTAGAGCCTCTTGGTCTTGGATCCATACTTTGTCCACCGCTGTTTGGACATCTCAATGAGAGCCCCTCCATCATCCTGGTAAGCTGGCTCCACTTAATTTGTCCAACAGAAGCCTGGCTGGGCACGCCTATCCTGTACCGACTCTTGGGGTGTGGACGGTGGTGAGGGAGGCCTTGGGCCTGGGCTCTTCCTTCCATTTCAGCTAATCTAGAGAAGGGTAGTGTGGAAGGCCCGACATGGGCAGGCATCAAGAAGAATGTCCTGCCTCACAGGCGACTTGGATAGTCCTGTGTTTTCCAGCCCAAGAGGTATTTTGCAGGGCTCGGGCTGCCCAGGGACTCCAGCTACAGACCCGACAAGGGAGGAGGGGAAGGGACTGCCTCCAGGAGTGTTGGAGAACCTCTGCGCTGTCCATCAAGCAGCGGGGACAACCTAGGAGGGAAGGAACCCGGTTATGTTGTCTAATCCACAACGGAGACTTTCCTGAGCCTGACTTTTTATGACTTTCAGAAATTAATTGCTGTCACAAGGGTAAAGGGTGCTGGTATATATTTCTCATAGAAATACATCATCCATTTGACATTTTAGAATGACCGAATTTTATAGCATTTCTGGGCTTTCACAGTGAATACCATTTATCAGAAATGCCAGTTACTAGAGATTGAAACTTTGACTCACATCTCAAAAGTCCTCTATTGTTTATAAAGCTCTGTTATGTACGTATATGATGTATTAGGGAAGAGCATAAAAAGCATGGGTTTTGGGTTTAGACCTGAGTTCAAATCCTGACTCTGCCATTTCCTCGCTGTGTGACCTTGTACAAATCACTTAACTTCTCTGAGCCACAATTTCCTCATCTGTGTAAAGGAAATAATAATATTTTCTCCCTCCTCATGTCATTGTGATGATTAGAGGTGTGTAAAGGAAATAATAATATTTTCTCCCTCCTCATGTCATTGTGATGATTAGAGGGGATAATGCCCATAAAGTATTTAGAAACAAAGTGGATAGTCAATATCAAATGGAGCTGAGGTCTCTACTAGAACTGGGAATTGGGATGAGTCTGAGATATCAGCTGAGGGGATATCAGCTTTGGGGCAGGAAGGTAGGGTCAGGAAATGTAGTTAATGTAGGGGGGAGTATTGTTTGGTGTGAATTAATGCGTGATATGTATGGTTTCAATTCGTGTGGACATATGCAAGTTGTGCGCACGTGTGGGGGTGTATATGTATGTATAACGACCGTCAGCCATTTGGAGGGGTGTATATGTTTGTTTGTATATGGAGATGTATGCAAATAAACCTGTCTGGAGAGGTTTGGAGGAATCCGGGATCATAACACTCAGTCCTCACTGCTCCCAGCTACCTGGCAGGGGTGGGGAACCTGCAGCCTTAAGGCCACATGTGGGCTTCTAGGTCCTTAAGTGAGGCCTTTTGACTGAATCTAAATTTTATAGAACAAATCCTTTTATTAAAGGGGTACAGCAGAGAAAGATGAAGCTTTTCTTGCCTCTTATTGGTGCTTAAAAAAGAACAATCTTGAAATCAGAAGGCCGCAGGCTCCCCACCCCTGGAAAGGCAAACCAAGCACTGAGAACGTGTCCTGGCATGTACGTGCTCTCTAATACTGCGAGGCTTACACCCCGACATCCATGCAATCCCCAGGGAGGGGATCTGGGCCTCACCGTGCAGAGTCCTTTGGCCTAGCTCATCAACAGCCTGGGATCTACATCCCAAACAGCTTTATTTATGGCTTTTGTAGCTCTCTCTCCTGAGCCTGGTAGTTTTGCCTCTTCTCCCTGATGGGCTGGTCGGTGAGAAGAGACCCAAGTGCCAGAGAGAAGGAGCAGTGTGTTTGCCTCTGGGTGCCCTGCCCGTCTCCACGCCTGCCCAGCCCTCTCCGTCCTGGGCCCCCAGCCATGCCTGCCAGAGGGAGGGGGAGGCTCAAAATAGAGCAGAAGAGGAAGAGAGGGCTGTGCTTCTCCTGGGTCCCCTTGCCTCTCTGGCCTTGGGAAGGGAAGTGTGTTCAAAGACCTCACCTTTCCTCTCTCAGATCCCTGAACTTTTCAAACCAATGTCCTTGTCTGGATTCTTTCTGCTCTTTGGTAGAGGATGTGGTATGGAGGGAAGAGAGAAGGGCAGAGAGAGGCTCTGAGCTTCCACTAAAGGCTGAAAATTATTTTGCTTGCTGGTCTCTGGGCTGCAGTTAACACTCTTGCTGTCTATTTCAGAAGGTTAGTGCAGTGATAAAAAGAAATCTAAATATTCCATCTGGCAATTAAGGAGTAATTCTGATTATAGTCACATGAACCATTGGTCTTTTTGTCCTAATTCCTGCATAGCATAAAAGTAATCATAACTTTTCATTAAATGTATGCCAGATTTTCTGTGTTGTAAGTTCTATTAGGTCAGAGCACCTGCCTCTATTTGGGTGTCCTGACTGTTCTTCACCTGCCTTTTATGCAGTTTTGTCTTCAGTACTGGTTTACAACACAGCTAAAGAAAGGGGACGTGGGCAGGACCAAGGGTGTGATCAGGGCTGACTGCCGAGACACTGCTGAGGGTGAGTGAGGCAGCCTGGGTCACACCTCGGCATCAGTGTGTGACAAGGGTTTCCAGAACACCTGCTCTGGGCCAGCACAGGGTGAGCCTTTTCCTCTGCATGTGCTGACATCAAAAGGCTTTGCCAACCTCCTTCCTACCACACAGGGACATTTCTTCTTGAACCAGTGACACGGGGGGTTCCATGCTTTTCTAGGTCAATTTGCTATTCACCTCAATTTTCTGAAAGTCTTTGGAGGCCAAGAAAAAATAACTTCCAAATGCCACAGAAGGAAGTGAGCACACACTTTGTTGTTCCTCTGGTGGGAAGGGCTCCTCCTGTTCTGGGACCAGGACCCCCTTTGGAAGGGATCTCACATGAGCTGCGCAGCTTGGCAACACCGGTGCTCAGCCCCACGGGCCGGGCGCTGAGCGGTGTTGGTTAGTGCTCCTGCATGCGCTCTTTCCAGGCCTGGGTCCTTTCAGGCTCTACTCTCCAAATGCAAATTATATTCACTTTATTTAACAAACGGTGCTTGATGAAACATTAACTCATTGAATGTTCATAAGGGTCTTATGAATTATCTTATTTTTGTCTCTTGTGGTGGCCCCCAAAGATGTCTATATCCTAATCCTCTAAACCTGTGAATAATTTACTGTCTATGGCAAAAGGGATTTTGTAGATGGGATTGGATTGTGTTGATATAGGAATGTTATCCTGGATTATCTGGTGAGTCCAGTATAATCATTTCATAAGGATTCTTAAAAGAGGGAGGCAGGAGGGTCAGAGTCAGAGAACAAGATGTGATTAAGGGAACAGAGGCGAGAAGGATCGCTGCCAAGGGGCAGGGAGTGCCAGCAGCCTGGAGAAGCTGGAAAAGGCAAGAAAATGGATTTTCCCCTACGTTCCAGAAGGAACGAAGCTCTGTCAACACCTTGACTTTTGCCGTATAAAGTTTGCTTAAGGATGTCTGACCCCTAGAACTGCAACATAATAAAATTGTATTGTTTAAAGCCATTAAGTTTGTAGTCATCTGTTGCAGCAGCAATAGAAAATGAACACGCCTTCATTAACCAACGCACGGAAGGTTGAGTAGCATGGCCGAGGTCATAAGGAAAATAAGTGATAGAGCCAGGATCTAGGCACAGGTTGAGCCACACATGTAGCTTTGCCATTACGCTGCCTCCCACCCAGGGCCACCCTCAAGGGTGATGTCCTTTGGACTCACCAAGTAACTGCAGGGGAAACAGCGCCCTTTCACTCAGGAGGAATATGATTTAATTGAACATCATCAGACAGGACTGAATTAGCCTAGGCCAGGGGAAACTGTCGGCCTGGCTCCTGCACTCTGTCCCCTGTCCCCTGACAGCATTGCTATCTTGTATCCAACCAGGTGAACTAGTTGTCCCTAAAATCCCAGCGGTGGGCTTGGCTGGGAGGATAAACATTGACCTCTTTCCCCTCTCCATCATGGTGCATACAAGGATGTTTCAAAAGGGGGACTCAAAGCAGGGCGTAATTGGCATTTATTCAAATTGTGCTTAATTGAATACTTCATCTGCACCTCCAGAAAACCACATGGGGTACAGGCTCTGTAAAGAGGAAGTAATTTTCATTAACAGGATCTAAATTAGTCTGACACAAAGACCTACTTGGTGCCTGTGACACGGCTAGTAATTACTGTGTAATGAACTCGTTGCTGCAGACAAAGCTTTCCTTTTCCTTTTTCATTTTGTACCTCTCACCCTTCCTCCCTGCCTTCCTTCCTTCCTCCCTTCCTCCCTCCCTTGCGAAGCTGCATGCCAGGCAAGTGCTTTTATTCCGAGAGACCAGGCTGGTGATGCTGCAGTGTAGCAGCCCTGTGGGGTGGGAGCAGAGGCCGCGCTCCCCGCTGGTGCTGACAGCCCAGAGAAAGCCAAATAAACTGTGAACTGACGTGGACTTGGCCTTGTACCTCCTCCCGCATAAGACTGTGCACATTATGCCTCTTGGGAACCTTCCATTTTTTTTATTGTATCTTCAACTCAGCTTATTCCCCCAATTCTTTCCTGTCAGCCCACAGACACTCACAATCTAAAAGTTGGGGGGAGAAGGAGTTTTCACTTCCTTTAGCCCTGTTATCTTCTTAAAATGCAACTATGAGTCTGTCACTCCCCTCATAAAACATCAGTGTGGTTCAGTGTTGCCTTTAGGGTAAAGTTTTCGGGGTGTTCTCCTGTTCCTTCCCTGTCACCCCTCTCCAGCGGTGCTGCCCCACCCAGGCTGCTAACCAGCCTGAGCCGGAAGGGGCTGTCACACACACGGTGGCTGCGGCAGCCTAAGAATGTGGAATTCCTTTTCGACAAGTGTTTGGAGGGAGAGAGGGAGAGAGATAAATATTCTATTCATACGGCAAACTTCTTCCTTTCTGTTTAAAAGAAGAAATTTTTATAGACATTTATTACCTAGAGTAGTATGCAAATATTAAACTAATTAAAATCTAGGTAATACTCTGTCTTGGTAGACATCGCTTTACTACCCAGTTTCAGAATTCAAGCCTCCTGAATTGTACTCAGGAGACTGTCATTTGCTGTCTCGGAGGTGGGGACCTTCGCTTATAGCATGCTGCAAGCTTTGAAGAAACCTTTCAAGAGAGAGAGGCCTGTGTTTTTTATTTTATTATTTATTTTTATTACCACTTGAGAGTGCTGTTGGCTTCTGTGAAAGTGGGTGAATTTTCTGGTTGCTATTTGTGCTGGGAGCAGTGTTGCAGGCGACATCTGAGTTAGTAGGTGCTGTGGCCCAGTGGTGTGTATATTCCAGTAGGGTTTTGGTACCCTTTACAGTTTGGGGGGCCCTGCAATGGTTCCCTTGCTGGCCCATTTTTTAATCCAGTTTGTGCTGGGAGTTCTCTGTGCTCCCTTCATTATACTGGGGATACAGGTGAGGTCGGTTCAAGACTCACATCTGTCTGGTGTCAGCGTCCCTTTCCTACAAGCAGAACCTTTCTGTGATGACTGACAGGAGAGGCTTACAGACCACAGACTTGTAAAGCACAGCTGAGTATGAACTTCCCCATCAGATTCCATAAAATCCCCGCTGCGTGGGGTGTAATGCTGCCTCTTCCTACTCAGACCTCTATTGTGGTCTTTACCTTCACCCATTTCAGGTTGCAAGTAGGTAGCAGTCAGTATCGAGGAAAGAAGCTGGGAGGGAGGAACCCAGTCCAGGACATGAGCTTGCTGTCAGAGGACAAGCCAGCACAGAGGCGTTAGAGGGGCCAGGGACCTGCCAGTTCTGTCTGCGTGTCAGGGTCTGGGACCAGAGGGCCCCTGCACAAAGACATGGGGTCCGAACTTCATGCAGGGTGACATTGTTCTCTTCATTGGGGTCCTAGGACCCTTGGGAGACATCCCAGGGCCATTGCTGATGAATGGGCATCAGTCACTGGGAGGCAGGAACCCATGAGGGTGGAAGGAAGTACCGTGGAAGGATGGGGGAGGTGGAGAGTAAGGAGTCGTGGGATAAAGGGAAGCTTTGTAGCCCCTGGTTGACCTGTTGGTAGAGAGCACCATTTGCATTAGATGTGCCCATTTTCATAGTTTCTCAATTCTCTTTTCCAGATTGTGACCATCTTGGCAAACATGTCTGTCCTAGAGCAGTGTGCCTCTGACATCGTTCAGGAGAATGGTATGTCTTTGCAGCAGTGTACGTGATTATCTGGTGTAGGGGACCATGTGCCTTTGTGCTTGTGTGAATGCCTATGTGCAGGTATGTAAGTATATTTGTGTCTCCATGTTTGCATGAGCATATATATGTATGCTTGTATGTTTGCTTTCATGGGGCTTAAATTCTAGTGGGAGACAGACCATGGACAAGAAGATGATGTTAGATGGTGATAGTGCCATGGGGAAAAAAGCAAGGGGGAAGGGGAAGGTGTTCTCAGGGTGGTGAGGAAGAGGAGAAGGCAAATATTTCATTATGATTCAAAAGGTAAAAAGCTATTCCTACTAATGGATGCATTCCAACTTTAAATCTTTTCTATAATATCTTATTGGATTTGGCCTCAGCAGAAAACTGAAGAGCCTGGGAAGGGGTGGGGGTTGTGAGGGAGCAGGTCAAGTCAACCTGAAGGCTCTGACCCCTCCCCAAGAGCATCTCTTCTCCCATTTGTCCCATCATACTCCCATTCCACCTTGTGCTGAGGGTGTCACCAAGGTCCAGGTGACGTGGGGCCGGGTTTTCTTGGCCTGGAAGCCGATCTAAGCAGTCGATGCTGGAGGACAAGGTTGCTGCCTTGCACCTGGGCACAGAGAGTGGCAAGGGCTTCCTGTGACTGGGAAATAAGGGAGCAATTAGCAACCAGTTGGAAACCAGAGACACTAATGAGGCAGAGTGAGCTGGGAGCCTGGGCCGGCTGCTTCTGCTCTTGTTAACCCCCTCCCCCGAAGCTGCCCTGCTGTCTTAACAAACATACACTCCCCATCCCCCATCGCTCTAGTACTAATTGAAAGACATTTTGTGTTAATTTTATGTGATTGAGCTAATAATGAGAAACTTTGCTGAGCCAGCTGAGGCCGAGAGGCTGAGTAGTGTCATTTGTACCTTCTCCCCTCAGCACTTGGAGCTTTAAGTTCAAGTCGTCAGGGGGTGGGTCTCCATGGACTCCATGCATTTGAGATTGGAATATTTGGCATCTAGGGAGGGTTTTATGGTTTGCAAAGTGCTGTTGACTGACTCATTCAGTCAACAGTTATTGAGGCCTACTATGTGCCTGGCATTGTGCTAGACGATTCGAACATAGAGACAAATAAGTCTTTGCCCTTGTCCTGGTGGATCTCACAGTCTAGAAGGAGAACCCAACTTGACGAGAGTGATAACATGATAAAAATGTAAAATCTACAATGGAATAATGCAACAGAGGGAGGATGACATGGAGGTCGAGACTGTGAAAACTGGGACCATATAGAGGAGGTTTGAATCCAGACTTTGTCATGTGCTGACCATATGACCTCTCTGTTTTCCATCTGCAGGATGGAAACAGTAGTAATGCCTATGTCACAATGATGATGTGAGGGTTAATGTGAAGCATGTTAGAAGAGTTTCTGGCACAGAATGAGCATTGTGCTAAGCCTATCTGCTCTTTCAGGGAATAGTGGCAGTCTCACAGGGTTTCATTAAAGAGTTTGATGAAGGAACTATTTGCAAAAGTGGCACAGGGCTTGAGGGGTCAACAATGTGGCAATGCTGTCAGGGCCCCTGGAAGAGAGTGGGGCTCCCAGGACTAGACAGGGCAGGCTGTTGTGCAGGCTGGCTCTGAGTGCCCATGGCCTGAGTCACAGGTTGCAAACTTAGATGCCTGCTCATCTAGATAGGCAATGTGAATGGTGACGTGGCTCACCAAGCACAAGATCAGTCTCTTTTAAAAGAGTAAGCTTGGAATAAGCTTCAGCAAATTGTTGTCATGCAGAAATGTGGGCCTAGTGGCGTTGGCTCAGTAGTCAATATTAGAAGTCAGAAATCTGGATTTTTATGGAAATCTCTTAATTTGCATATTAACAAAAATTTGGACACTGTGTGGAACAGCAAAACAAAGCAAAATACATCCTTGGGTCATGTATGGTTTAAGTTCTAAGCTGGCAGGAGCCACTGGGTGCAGAAAAGGCTTGCAGGCCAGGGCAGTCTACCTCACATAGGAGGGAGCTGCAGGATGGGAGCTGTTTAGCTGATACAGAAGAAGGAAAAAGGCATCCCTGCAGAAAAAAAGGGTGGGCAAAGGCAGGGAGGGGGGAATGGATGTAGGTGTGCTTTCTAGAACAATCAGAAGACAGATCTGCTTTCAGGGGAAGGTGAGAGGCTTCTCAGCCGACTCAATTCAGGGCTAAATCTCATAGTCTGCCTACTCCACTGTCTTCCAGTGCTTGAGTGTGCTCTAACATATTTGATGTAGTGGTTGTCCAGCCCAGGTGTGGGTGACCTCTTACCAGGGGGCTCATCACCTCTGGACCTGTCTCAGATGCAGTCAGAATCAGAGGTGAAGAGGTGATGGTGAGAAACCAGTTATCTGGGTTCTAAGATGGGCTTCCCTAACTCCTGTGTGACCCTGGGCAAGATATTTCACTTCTTTCTGGGCCTCAAAATGAAATTATAATAGCACCTGCTCAGGGGGCTATTGGGAAGTGAGGGGATCATGCATCTGCTGTGCATTTGGCATGGTGCCGGGCATGTAGTAAAAGCTCAGTAATAACATTAAAAAAATAAAGATGTCCTCAGGTGTCCCTTCAAGGTATAGTGACTTGGCACATGGAATCAGAGACACCATCAGGCAGTAGGAGTAGAAGAGTGGCACTGTCCAGCTTCCCCTCTGTGGGTGAGCCTCCTTAAGTCATCCTGACAACTTCTGCTTGCGGCCTTCAGCCGCCTGTCCTGCTGGCCCGATGGGGGAGGGCTGTACCCTGGGCGTAGGTACTAACTTTTCACTGCTTCCTGTCCAGGCGTGGAGCTGATCATGGGCATGCTGTCCGAGAAGCCGAGGTCTGGGACCCCCGCTGAGGTGGCAGCCTGCGAGCGAGTCCAGCAGAAAGCTGCAGTGACCCTGGCCCGTCTCAGCCGAGACCCAGACGTGGCACGGGAGGCCGTGCGGCTCAGCTGTAAGTGGTGCTGGCTGTGGCTGGAGTGGGATGGGGGCTCGGAGATGGGAGCGGCCCTGACCTCACAGTGGCAGCCGTGAACACAGGGCAAGGGCGGTCGATACCTCTGCTGCAGTTTCCACTAAGTTCAGTCCCGGCCAGTGTGCTGCCACTTGTGGGTTTGGCTTTGGTAGATGCGCTGGGCCTGGCCTTGAGCAGGACCTGTTTACCACAGAGTAAGAAGAAAGTCTCCACCACACACTCCTTCAGGTGGGATCAGCCTCCTTCCCTGGCAGACTGGGGGACCAATGGGGCCCCTGGGAGCCGCCTGTCTCCACAGGGCACTGTGCAGAGTGGGCGCACCAGAGAGGGCCAGCACCTGTGGGACAGGCCTGGCCAGGGTCCCCATCCCAGGCATGACGTTCTCCCTGTGTCTCACACAGGTATGTCCCGTCTCATCGAGCTCTGCAGATCCCCGTCAGAGAGGAACAGCAGTGATGCTGTGCTCGTGGCCTGCCTGGTGAGTTGTCTGTCTTCTCTCAGCTTTCCCCTCGCCTTGGGAATTGCAGACCAGGGGCCAGGAGAACTGGCTATGCCGTGGCTGTCTGAGTAAACCATAAAGCCTCTCTGGGCTTTTGCTTTTCTCTTTAAGCTGGCGATTGTTGTACTACTTGTTTCACTTAATTCATAAAATTGTGATGAAAATTATATGAGGTCATATATGTGAAAGACGGGACACTGAGAAAATCCCCATTGTTCTATCACCACGATTTTAGTAACCATGAACTTTTGAAGCTCTAGGGAATCTTAAAGGCAGATGAAAGCCGGAGTGGCAGGCCGGCACAATGTTAGGGGGTGGTGTTGATGTCATGGTGCCTGCAGAACGTGAGAACTAGTGTAGGGCTGTCTCCTGCCTGGTCCAAAGAGGACATTGTGAGAAAAGCCTTCTTTACCCCTGGCTGGGGCCCCTCTGCTGGCTTTCTGCTAGATCCTGGCTCCCTCTTCCTTGGTGGGATAGGATGGGAATAAACATGAATGAATTATTCAGCCAGCCACTGGGCTCTTCACCTTGAACCCAAGTGAGTCCATGCTGGAGCCCAACTTCTTGGTGCATTCTGGAGGACCTCTCCCATCTTCTCGATGCTAGGGATCCACTGTGGAATAGTCGGCAGCACTAGACTGGGAATGCATGCTTTGTCTGTACACTCTTCCCTACTGGAACCATAAAATATCCCAAAGCCGAGTAGCTTCCATTTGGAAGCATCAAATAGTGGGGAAGCCATTGTATAAACAGGGCCATTAAGTTCCAGAAGACAGTGCCAGATCTTCAGTCCTCAAAGAGCATAAGGGAGAAGCCATGGATTTAAAGATCCTCTAGGCTGCTTCAGTAAAGCCCTGTCCTCACCCCATCAGTTTTTTTTAATGGAGCTCATCTCATTTCTGGGAGTTCCTGATGGCTGTTGTGCAGTTGTAGAAATAGCAGGGCATTGTAGTCGGACAGACCTGCCCAGGTCTTACTGTTAATGAACTGTACGGCATTTGGAAAGTCACTAAGTGCTATAAATTGTACTCAGTATATGCCTACTGAATGGTTCTATGTGCCATTCACTCTTCTAGGCTATCAGGATACTACTGTATGTAGAAAAAAAATACATAAATCTCTGCTCTCCTGTGTCTTTTTTTCTGGTACCTGCAGTGAAAGCCTAACTATTTTTTGTGCCTTTAGTGGTCTGGTGAAGCTTCTGGACCCCTTTTCAGAAAGATCTTTTAAATGCATGAAATAAAATATATAGAATCAAAACAGAAGCCAACTATATTAAAATAATAATTACTAAAATATTTTAGCACATGATATATTAGTATATGTGTGTTTTAAGCAACATATTAAATAAGAGCTAATAGTGGGTTTAATAAGTGCCATAATCTTGACTAGTGATGACCATAAGTGATTTTTGAAGGAGTCTTCAACAACCATAATGGTCTATGAAAGGATCTGTGATTCTACTGGTGGACACAAGTCACAGAGTCTTCTTCTTTTTTTTTTTTTTTTGTCTGTCATTTTCTTTCTTTCTTTTTTTTCTTTTCTTTTCTTTTTATTTTGGCATATTATGGGGGTACAGATTTTAAGGTTTCAATAGATGCCCTTTCCCCCCCTCCCCACACAAGTCTGAGTCTCCAGCATGACCATCCCCCAGATGGTGCACATTTCACTCATTATGTATGTATATACCCGCCCCCCTCCCCCCTCCCACCTGCCCAATACCCTATTACTGTACTAACTAAGTCACAGAGTCTTCTAAGGCTATATTCACAACCAAAGGAAATGCTAAGTTTCAGCGAGAGGTTAGTGAAAATAAAGAGCTTTTTCTCATCCATGTTCACAGTCCCTCTTAATTCTGCTCAGTCTATCAAGTGAAACGAGGGGAACTTCGTAGCTGTCTTACATGCGATGATTGACTCCAACTGCCTTTATCCTCACAACTCCAGCCACTGCCTGCTGCTGAGCAGGCCCCGAGCAAATGTGGGTAGCATTGCAAACAGTTGGAAACCTGCGAAGCTCCATTCAGATGTGAAGGCTTGTTGTGATTGCTGTTGCCATTTTTGTTAGCTTGAAGGAGAGTATGCAAAAGGGACTGGCTACTGTCTTTAGTCACTCGAGGGATTTTCAAGTGGAAAAGTGATTGCATTTGTTCTTCTGGAGGAGTTGGTGGATGCTGAACAGAGTCCTTCCCTCCTGAATCCATTCTCCACTTGGCTGCTGAGTTCATTTTCCTAGTGAACACTTCCATGAAACCCCCATGAAACCCTTTCATGGTTCTCCACTATCTATGGGCTACTGTCCACCTGCTCAGCCCCTCACAGTCTGGCTCTGACCCACCCCTGGGGCCCGAAGGTCTCCCGTGACTCCAGGCACTGTCCAACCTGGCTAAGCCAGAGTACCCTGAGCTGCACCTTGGCCCTTGCCCCAAGCAAATGCCCCTTCTGCAGCTCTGTTTATTAAAATCCTGTGCATCCTTCAAGCCTCAGGTCTAAATCTCTCTCCTCCATGAAATTTTCTAGGTACCCTCCATGGTACAAAGACAGGGAGTTCACAGTTTGTACCTGGGCCTCCCATCTTGGACCTTGTTTAACTGAACCTGGGGGAGATTGTATTATTCGTGTTGTAGGTGCTGTAAGGGGAGGCACTTGGACTTCAAACACAGGCCTGCCCGACGCTGGAGGCCTGGACTTGTTGACCAGACCATCTTGTTTTCAGCCACACTCTTTCTCTGTCCATCTCATGGCCCTGGTTTCTTTACGTTGACTCATGGGGGAGGATTTGTATTTCTCCCCCTCTAGCCTGGAACCTTCTTAGGACAGGGGACACATCTTTATACTCCATAGAATCTGGAGTTTGGTGACTATTACCTGGCTTTGGGACTGACAGACTTGTTCCCCTGCTGCCAGCCCCAGTGTTGGTGGGTGTCCATGGTTTGGCCCCAGAAGGGTTCCAACATTGGGGTGCGGTCCCCTGGCTGGTGAGGTGGCTGTCACTTGGAACCCGGCCTGGCAGATGGAATGGGAAGTCTCCTTTCCCGCACTTCCTTAAGGCCTTCTTTCCAGTTTCAAAGGCTCTCTTCAGATGGAGGTGGGGGGATTTCAATCATCGTCTCCCAGGTCTGGGAAGCTGGCAGTGCAGATTGTCTTTCGCAAGCAGAATTGATTTTTCCTTAATGAAGCGGCTGCCAGTGGGCTGCTCGGCTTGTTTACTACTTGGGTGTTTTCAGACTGTCTGGGAATGAGATTGTGGGATGACCAGCTGTTAACCCTCCCGGGGAAGCAGAGGCCCTGAGAGAAAGGCTTGGGAAGGTGCAGGGTCCTCGGAGGCTGCTGGGCACTGCAGAGGGGGTGCTCTGAGCTGCTGTGGGGCTCATGTCCTGCAGGCTTTCTGGGGACCTTGGAGAGGGGAGGGTTTCTCTTCTCCCTCTCTTTCTCTCTGTTGCTCTCTGTTGTGTTTTGTTCTTTGTTTTTCTCTCTTTCTAGGGGTTGCCTCTTCTCTCTCAGTGGTTTCTCTTCCTTCTTTGTCTTCCTCCCTTCTTTTTCTTTTCTTTTCTTTTCTTTTTTTTATTTTAGCGTATTATGGGGGTACAAGTGTTAAGGTTACATATATTGCCCATGCCCTCCCTCCCCCGTCGAATAAGAGCTTCAAGCATGTCCATCCCCGAAATGTCCCTTCTTTTTATTCCCCTCATCCCCCTCACCCTCTCTTTGCTCCTTCCATTTCCTCTCTGCCTCCTCACCTCTTCCTACCTCTCCAGTTATCCCCTTCCTCCCAGGGGCCCTCTCTCTATTATTTATTGTCTTTGTCATTGTTTCTCTCTCGCTCCATCTACCGTTCATGCTTGGACTCTTTCCCTTCACCAAGTTCATCTCTGTCTCTGTGTTATAGCATTTCCTTCTTGCTCTTTCTGTTGCTGTCTCATTTTCTTTCTCTGCTTTTTTCTATCTCATTTGCTCTCTTGATAGGTCTATGTTCTATTTTTTTGTCCCTCCCTCCCTGCCCCACCCAACTTTATTGTAAACCTTGTTGACGCAAAATACATCAATGGCCTCATATCCTTATCTGCGGAAGATTCCTGGTTCCATTTTCACAGTGACATTTCAGGGGTTATTTCTCCCAGTTGGAGCTAAGAGGAATGAGGAAGTGCTATGGAGTTCAGCTTCTTTAGCCCTGGGGGTCAGGACACACTCCTTAGAGACAGCCCTGAGGCGTCTACTTCCTGCTCTTGGGTCTCAGACCCTGCTCCTATGCACAGAGACACACGTTCCTTCTCCTTGATCTGGTTTGACATGACAGCCCCTGTGACTCCAACAACCAGCTCAAATCATCTTCTCTTTTCACCTCCATGGCCTGATTTCTCAGCCACGGGCCACCTGCCGTATCTAGGTAATGAGCTCTACTCCTGCCTTGTACCCAGTATAACCTAGTGTCCTGGGGTTGCAGCCTCCTGCCTGTGTGTGTAACTCTGAGTGTGCTGGAGTTGGACTGCTGTGTGATGTTCTGGAAGGCCACTTTCCTTCTCTGACCCTTAGTTTTCTTATTCCCAACATGGAGAGTGTGATATTTAGCTTGTAGCATCATGTAGGGACTAAATGAGATACTCCGTGTGTATCTCTGTGATACTGAGATACCCAGTAAGTGTTTGCATTCTCTCCTTCTTTGCTTCTTCTGCCATGGTAGATATTCCCCCACTCTCTTTGTTCCCAGGGGCGGGTGAGGAGGGGGCACCCTGTGGCCTGCTGTGTATATGCTGAAGAAGAGGGAAGGAATGAATATCCATCGAGTGTGTAGTATGTATGCATTGCCTCAGTTAATTGGCAAACAGGTCTGGGTAGGTGCATAGCTCACATTTAGTTTCAGATTACTCTATCAGTAGACCTCAAATGTAAAACAATTCATTTGTTCATTTCTTTTCAGCAGACATTTATCGAGCCCTGTGCCAACCCCTGTGCTGCCTGCTATAGATAACAGAGAAACATAGAACTTGAGCCCTGCTTTGGAGGAGCTCAGAGTCTAATGTGGGAGGTGAACAGCCCAAAACCAGTTATAGTCAAGTGTGGAAAGGTTGAGGTCAGCCCAGGGGCCCTGGGTGCACAGTGGAGGGACAGACCACTTCTGCTTCAGGGTAATCAGGGAAACCTTCACAGGGGAGGTGACAATGGCCCAGGCCTTGCGTGTCATCTGCTGGCCAGAAAAGAGTGGGGAGGAACTTTATGTCATAGGGAAGAGTATGAGCAAGGGCACATGGACACAAAGCAGGAAGAGCATACTCAATACTCAGTGTGTGGGGGTCTGGGGAGCACTTTCATTCCACCTGTTCCTCTTTTTCCCATTCATCCCCTCTCTGGACCTTGAATTTCTTGGTGGCAGAATGCCTATCTATTCTGATGCCATGTTCGCTCTCTCTTCCCTCCTTCCTTCCCATACTGTAGTGCTTTGTCCAGAACCTTGCGGTTCTAAGGTGACTCTAGGGACCTGGAAGCAATAATATAATTCCACTGATGCTTCTGGTAGTTCCAGTCTCTAGGACAAACACATCTTGACCTTAAATATGTCACTAAGTTGACCAGATCCTTAAAATGACCAGGTTCTTCTTCTTTTTTTTTTTAATCTTTTATTTAATTTCTTCTCTCTCTCTCTTTCTCTCTCTCTTTGCACTACTGATAGCTGAAGACCAGGTTCTTAAGATGACTAAAAATTTAAGATGGCAAGACCATTAGTAATAGCATCAGGGGTCCTTCAACTATGGCCCGCAGTCCATATGTGGCCTGCTGAGGACATTTATCCCACCCGCCGCCGGGTGTTTTTGATGCTGCTGCCTGTCCTGGTTAGCAGCCGACTTGTCCTGGGCCCACAGTGCGCATGTGTGGAATGTGCGCCGCACTCCCCAACGGCCCTCCAATGGTCTGAGGGACGGTGAACTGGCCCGCCCCCTGTTTAAAAAGTTTGAGGACCCCTGGTTTAGAGCCTTCAGGTGACATCTGCCATAGTGACCAAGGTGCAAACAAAACCAGGTGACCAAGTGATAAGGTCGATATGGTGACTAGGTGAACAAAATGGTCATTAAGGTGCCAGATGGCCAAGAGGACGATGAGCCCAAATTACCTGATGAATGTGCCACTTCCTGAAATGCATGTCTCAGGGCATTTGAAGAAAATACATGCATCAGAACAGGGCCCACTATGACCTGCGTCACCTCTTCTGTCTTCTCCCCAGGCTGCTCTGCGTAGATTGGCTGGGGTCTGCCCCGAAGGCCTGCAGGACTCTGACTTCCAGCAGCTGGTCCAGCCTCGGCTTGTGGACTCCTTCTTACTCTGCAGCAACATGGAGGAGAGTTTCGTGTAGCAGGTGTAGGAGAGGAAAGACATCCAGCCTGTTCTTACTCTCCCTCTGCATACACACCAGCTCTCCTCACCTCCTTATTTATACTTAATTTATTTTTTATGTGAAGTACACAAAGAGTGAAATCTTAGGGCAACATTATCAAACAATCTGTGGCTTTGGGGAGTCTCTTTTGTTCTTATTTTTTGACTTCTGTAGCTTTTCAGTTGCAGATGTTGAAATACATAATGGCAGATTGTCATGGATGATTTCACTTCATCTTGTTTTCTCTACTCTCACTATATAATCTTAATCTTGCCTCATTTTTTTGTTTGTTTTTTACTTTTGAACCAGGGTATTTTAACTGCCTAGCAGGTTTAAAAAAAAAGTTGGATTTGTTCTTTCCAAAAATTTAAAATGAATTTCATAGGTGGGGAGAATATACTGAAAGAGAATTTTTTTTCTTTAATAAATGGAATCATGCAAATGTGTCTTGGATTTTCTGATTAAATTGTACCTTAAACTAATTTCTTGCTTCTCAAGGTTTCATTCCACAAAAGCCTTTGCAACTATTAAAAGTACATAGAGAATTGTCTTGTTTTCATAGGCATATAAATGGGTTAAGTTCTGAGAGATTTAGTGAAAGATCACAATGATTTTCAAAAATATTTCCCAAGACACCAAAAACTCAGCTTCCTTTGGCTTCTCTGCTCTGGTGTAACTTCCTGGTGAATTGAACCTGCGGATGAGGTTTATTGAATGATTCTTCTTCAGAAATATACCTGAAAGCAGTGGTGTGCTAGAGCCAAAGGGACAATTGTGAGAATATCTTCCCAACTCTGCATTCAGTGACTTCATGTTGGTAGCTTGAAGTTGGCCATGGTGGGAGTATTATATATCACAGAAATTGGGAGATGGTACAAATCAGAGCTTTTGATTTTTTCAGAGAGCTAGTTTACCAATATCACTGCTTGACAGTATCACAAAAATCTGTGTATCTTTCTGAAAGGTTTAATGCTATCATATTGTGATATGATTTTATGCAATTCAAAGAACAGTTTTTGAATTCCCAATTACTAGTTACAGCAAGTTAACCTAACATATCAGGTTCTAGGCCAAGCATGTAACATACATTATGTCATTTATTGCTCACAGTAATCACATGATTATTAGTATATTAACATATGTTATTGCATGTGTTCATATTATTAAATCACTTGCCCAAGATCACTAGTTAGTAAGTGGTGCTAGGATATGATTTAAATCAAGGTCTTCTGAGTCCTTATAGAAACTTCCACTTTTATGAAAAAGGTTTTTGATATATCTCACTGAATTATGCAGATTGCCTAGATATTGACGCCTTTCATTATATAGTATCAATAAATAACTTGTTAATATCATGACTGATCTCATCAGTTAAGTCTTTAAATATTGGGAAGCTAACAAGCTTGAAAGCTCAAATTCTATTATTGGCAACAAATATTGTCAGTTGTTTTCCTTAAAGAGATAGCCTCACTTTGTTCACTTTTGGGAAAATATCTGTCTGCCAAACATCCCAGTCTGAATAACCATAATTTGTCTGTCAATTATTCTTTCAAGTAAAAATAGTGTTCTATGGCAAAAGCAGCTAGTTCACATTACAATTCAAACAATCACACTAATGCTTTTCTCTTGAAACTGACACCCATTGTATTTCAGCACACAGTAAAAATGCATGAAGTATAGTTTTCTCATCATCCAGAATATTAAAAAAACACATGTACCGAAGGCTCAAGATTTAGTAAAATTAATAATTTTTAGTGCTTCAAGTATATTCATAAGGGAAATTAGTATTTAAAACATTTAAGTGTGTGGCAGTGAAGAATATGACTATAAGTACAGTTTGGTGTCATGGCCTTGATCATCTTAAGGTGAAATTTTACTTAACCGTTGCTCTTGCACGATTAGTGCAAATGCCAACAAGTCAAAAAACATAGCTAACTTCTTGGTACTATTATAAAAGTCGTTTTGAACTCACAGAACTCCTGAAAGGGTCTTAGGAACCCCAAGAGATTGTGGGTCCTACCTTGAAAAACACTGATCTATTTTTTTTTCTTTTGGAGAAAGAAAAGAAAAGAAAGTTAGAAGCATGTCACTAAATCAAACTTTCAAAGAAATGACAATTAAGCTCCACTGTTCGAAGGAAAGAATATCAAAGAATTTTAAGACATATTTTAAAAACCACCATGTTGATTATATTTCCGGCAAGGCCTCTCTGTCTGATGTACTACTTTCCTACTCATTTTCATGTTTTCCAAACTTTGCCTAAACTACTCGCTCAATTTCAGAAGGTCCAATGGGTCAATGTTCCTTACCTCCCATTCACCTCCCCATGCCCCACTCCCACCAAATGAAGCAACCAGAACTGAAAACAAGCCCATACCGTTTCCCTGTACTCCCCACCCTCCACGCCGACCGCTGGTTGTGGTGGAGCAAGGCTACCAACGACTACACTTATTAGAAGGATGAAGATGAAGAGACAATTATCACCAATGCTAATGAGTATGGAGTTTGACTTCAGGGATGAGAGTTCAAAAGGGAAGCTAAAGAAAATGGACCAAATGGAAGAAAACATACTTTCTTGCTTAATGACAATGTTCCACACTCTCTGAATTTTTTTTTGCTTGGCGTAAGGAGGACCGGGAGCAGTAGGTACGTAAGTCTAATTTTCTAATATAAGTTGTGATAAAGAATAGAAAGGGAAGATCAAAGTCTGCAGGAGGTGGGAGCCTATTCAAAGGCGTTGAGACACAAATGACGCTATGAAGCTCCCAACATAAGATCCCCTGTGAGAGGATCCTGCCCTCGGACAACCTGTAGCTCCGTCGTGTCTCTGTCTCTGGCTATATTAAACCTCAGAATAATTACTGTCCCTTGAACAATGCCTTTTTGTAACACCCACAGATTCATAGCGCGGAGAGATGGTGTCATACATAAAGGAAACTTTATTAATAAGCAAAAGAAGAGGAGGAAGAAAAGGAAGTTGGACTCAGAATGGAAAACTCAGGCCACAGATTTGAAGGGTCTTTTTTTTTTTAATGATGTTATTCAGAAAGGTGGAACTTTTGAAAGAGAAAGTTTAAAAGAGTAATGAAAGGATGACATCAAAACCTGGATGGGATTTACAGTTAAGACCCATAGAAGGTGGGAGAATGTTCCATCCTCCCTCTCTAGGCTGTGGAGTGTAGGGCAGGCAGGACCCACTTGACTCACCTTCAGCTGATGAGACCCTCAAAGTCCCACTGATTTTAAAGCAGCCGCAGAGCATGGGCTGCAAGCTTGGCCATATCTAGAGCAGCTTCTGGGCTTCCGGGCTGCTCTAGACAGGAAATCAAAACAGAGGCCCTAAGGCAAAGACCTCCTTCTGGGAGTCAGAACAAGGGAGAATAGGAGTCTTTCCCTAGCTCAGTGGCTCCATTTGAAGTTTGCCCCGAAGACTGAACTAAAGCTGATCCTATTTACTGAGTACCTCTTGCATGCAGTCATTTTACCATGTATTATCTCTCATTCTCACCTTGGTGAGTTAGGTGCTATGATTAATATTCCCATTTATACTCTCTATTACAGACGGAGAAATTGAGACTCGGAGAGGTTAAGTAGCATTGTCAAAATCAAATAGTTACTACTGATGTTGGATTGAGCCCACATCTGTTTGACTTCAGAAGCTAATTAGGGTAAAAGTAAGAACTTAGCACCGGACACTTACTAGCAGGTAGATATGGCGCTAGACCTTTGTAGAGCCATCATTCTCCAGCAAACATATCATGAGGGGCTGCTCTAGCCTCAGGAAAGAAAAATAAAAATGAATACAATGCTGCAATTACCTCTGATTTTAGACTAGAGTGGTGGGTTAATTGTGGGTAAGTGAATCCCTCCAGAAAATCTGTAAAGCAGAGTGGTTGAAACTTCAGACTGAATCCTGGCTTTAATACTTACTAACTGTGTGACCTTGGATGAGATACATATCTCTCTGTGCCTCAGTTACCCTGTCTGTAAGGTGGGATGATGATAGTGCCTTACTCATAGGACTGTAGGAATTAAATGGCTGATACATGGAAAAAAATTAGAATAGTGCCTAATGGCAAGTGCTCAATAAACAAGGCTACAGCTAAAGCCAACCAAATCCCCCCCTTGGGTCTATTCAGCTTGCCTGGTTCCACTTGACAGTGCTTCAGGTGTAGACCCACTATGTGTTAGAAATAGAGAGTGTTAATTCTGTGAGGGATGTGGAGGCCGTCTAGGCTTATCTCTACATCCTCCACTGAGCAGTAAAGAGACACGTAAAATTACAGAACAAGTAAATAGAAGAGCTGGGACTTGGATCCAGGATATGACAGCTACCACCACCATAGCTGTTCTGTACCAGGCACTGCACATACACTACTCCATTAAATTTCTAAAACAATCCTGCTAAGTAGTTATTATTTATTCCTTTTTAAAAATAAGGAAACAGGTTCATAGAGACTCTATGTCTTGCCCAAGATCACGTAACTAGTAATAGAAGACAGAATTTGACCAAAGACTGTTTGAAACCAAAGCCCATGATTTGACCACTTGTTACACATACATTTTATTATATCTGTGTATACATAAGCCCACACACCATGTGTGATCTTAAAAGTAGAAGTATAATAACACTTTGGCAAATTCCAAATTTTTGCTTTATTTGCAAAAAAATTTTTTATATTTTTAATTAATTCATTATTAAACACAGATATACTATCTATAGTTACACACTTGTTAAAATTACAGCAATAAATATTAAAATTATTTCAGGGAAAAAGAATCAGAATTAGAATGAAGTATAATATATATAATGAAAATTAAAATCCTGTCCAATTCCTGATCAGCACTAGGAAAATCTCTAAAACAGCTGCTCCTTATTCTAGTTTCAGAGTAAAGCATCAAGGACAAATCAAAACAAATGCTATACATTATCAGTTCCATTTTTAAAGCAACGAAAGACTTTGGGAATAGTTGCTTTAAAATTTATTTTTATTAGATATTTCCAATAGTCCTTTTGTAGAGATTCTATTTATACCTGAATTTCTTATCCAGCTTTAGGGCTATACATCACTGATAAAAGCAGAAATAAGAGGCTATTTATATGTAGCTATATGTATGTGGGTGTGTGTGAGTCTCAGACTTGAGGTCCCCCCCAAAGCAACTGTGAAGCCCAAATACAAATCTACAGAAAAACCCATAAAGAGCTGTTGGTTTATTTTTCAAAATTTTGGCAACACATAGAAACGAGAATTTTGTCAGTTAACCCACATGGCTGGCATGGCATTTTCTTTCAAGTCTACAGCCTCTTTCTCCTCCACCCTAAGACTGAATCAGTCCCACTGCAGGCTTGCCCCACCATCAACTCTTAAAACAGATTCAGTTCTCACTTAGGTGCAGGGCGTGATCATGGTGGAGGATAGCTGGGATATGTGAGTCACACTACATGCTGGTGGGGTTCCTCAGGTTTGTCTTCTCAGGGAAGGCTGGGGAAAGAGCAACTTTTAGGATATTAGCCCCATTTTGCAGGCTTGACTTCTCCCAGCTGTGCTGTGCTTGCAGCTGAATCCACAAATGCCCGGAGGAACAAAATGAGGGTGGGGAGAGACATGCTAATTTCTAACAATCTTTGAAAAGTTTATTCTTTAGACTTCTCACATATTAAAATTTAATAATGAGGCTGGGCGAGGTGGCTCATGCATGTAAACCTAGCACTCTGGAATGCCGAGGCGGGTGGATCACTCAAGGTCAGGAGTTTGAAACCAGCCTGAACAACAGCGAGACCCCGTCTTTACTATAAATAGAAAGAAATTAATTGGCCAACTAATATATATAGAAAAAATTATCTGGGCATGGTGGCGCATGCCTGTAGTCCCAGCTACTCAGGAGGCTGAGGCAAGAGGATCGTTTGAGCCCAGGAGTTTGAGGTTGCTGTGAGCTAGGCTGACGCCACAGCACTCTAGCCCGGGCAACAGAGTGAAACTCTCTCAAAAACAAAAAAAAAATTAATAATGAACTTACCTATACATCTAAAGTACTTCTCAATTTAAAAGTCTATCTGGGGCGTTCCATTGAAATGATTTGGCTTGAGAAATGCATCACGTGACCCATCTGAGGACATTCACTGCCTCATCTCAGGTTGACACTTTTGTATGGACATCCTCAGAGAGAATTTCCAAATTTTGCCCAAGATGTTTTAAAGGCCCCAGTAGTAGGCAAGGAAAGTGGAGGTCTTTCCTTAATATTCCATATCCAACCTCATTTCTCACCTCCAGAAGACAAATCCCATTTGATTTTCCAAGCAGTTTCTTCAAGGGCACAGTGTTTGGGAGTGACATGGAGCTGTCCAATTGGGGTCCTTAAGAGAGTAATAAAGGTGGAGGTATGACAAAGCAGAAGGCGCTCATATTCGGATGTCACACCATCAGAGAGGAAGAGAGTGGCCCTGGGCAATTCCGTCAACATCTCTTTCTTCAGGATCGCTCCTCAGGAAGGTTCCCCGTCACTTCATGCATGCTGGGAGCTGAGTCAAGTGACCAGTGGTTGTTTTCATTTTCTCTGTGAATTAGCTCAGGATGGCCACTTCCTTGTCTGTCTCTTGGCACCTGAGTTTGACAGCCCTGTGGGGCACTTGGATACACTGCTGAACCCTCCTCTCCTCCCCTTGGTTGGCCACATGAGCCCACCTCAGGCATGACGTATCTTCCATCTTTAAGATGGAGATTTCCTTCATTTTGCTGAATCTCAGCTCAGCCTATGGCTAAAATCCTGGACAGGGGAGACCCCCAACGAGCAGATGAGGCTGCAGCTGTTCAGTTGCAGGAGGGTCTGGCAGCCTTTCTGCAGCTTCCTGGTTAATTGTGAACATGCTTTGCAAGGCTGGCTGCTCACTGTGACTCATGATCATAGGACAGTGGGCTCGATCTCCTTCCCAAAGGCCAGTCTAGGAGAAAGCCAGGAGGGGGTCACACACCTGGTCTCCGGCCTCTGCTTTCCTCCTAGGTGTCTACCTTTTTAGCTTGGGACATTTAGCTGTCATCCTAGAGCCCTCTCAAACCAAACTTGAATTTCAAAACTAATTCATCAATTCAAATGTCTTCCTTTTCTTCTTTCCTTCTCTTCCTTCCTCCTCTTTGTTGTTTAGTGATATTTTCCAAAAGTTGAGTGGCTCTCCTCTTGCTGCCAGAAACTTCCTTAACGATGGAGACTGCTGAGGCCTGAATTACAAAATTAAAAAAAATCAAGAAACTCAGTTAAAGAGCCACATAGTCTTGGCAAGGGCTGGACCCACAGAGCTCAGGTAGTCCAAGCCCAAGATGTGTGTATCTGTTATTATTTACTGATCAGATGACATTTTGAACCTTGTAGATATTTTAAATTTTAGTATATAGAAGAGATTTATGGTGAAATATAGTGAAATACTATAAGTAGACTGGAAAAATTTGTCATATGAATTCATTTTAAAAAATATTGTTGGGTAAAAAAAAGAAAAGAAAGTTATAAAAGATACACATAGTGCATGTCATTTATACAAAGCTGAATATACACAAAACACTATAGTATGTTTCTAGAAAAACCATATGTAGTGAAACTTTCAATTACATGAATGGTGTTATGGGTTGAATTTTGTCCCCTCAAAATTCATATTTTGAAGTCCTAACCTCCAGTACCTCCTAATGTGACCTTGTTTGGAAATAAGGTCATTGCTGGTGTACTTAGTTAAGATGAGGTCACACTGGAGTAGCCTGGGCTCCTAATCCAATATGGCCAGTGTCCTTATAAAAAGGGGAAATTTGGACACAGACACGCGGAAAGAATGCCATGTGACATTGGAGTCACGCTGCTTCAAGTCAAAGAACTGCCAGAAGCCAGGAGAGAGACCAGGAACAGATCCTTCTTTAGTGCCTTCAGAGGGAACATGGCCCTGTCGACACCTTAATCTCCAACTTCTAGCCTCCAGAACTGTGTGACAATAAATTTCTGTCATTTAAGCCTTCTAGCTTGTAGTACTTTGTTATGGCAACCCCAGGAAACAAATACAAGTGGGAAGGATGCACATGAACTTCAAGATAATGCCTACCCTTGGGAGGCAGGAGATGGAATAGGATTAGGGTGGGGCATGTGAGAACTTTCTTTCACTAGTGATAAATAAAATACCTGTAGTATATATGGTAAAATATTTTTAGTTATAAAATCTGGGGAGTGGACATTTGGGTGTTTGTTATATTATTCTTTGCACTTTTCTTAATATGTAAACCATCCCAAAAATGAATAAAAAAGATATTCAGACCTAAGACCAGCATAGCAGTGCTGTCTCTGGTTGTTGATTCCAAAGTTGTCATTGATCGAAAGCCCTGCCCATCTTCGGTTATGAAGGAAAAGCCTGCTGGGTCGGAGACTGCAGACACTGAGAATCAATACAGACCAGTTGCACAGGGGAAAGCAGATAGCTGGCATAGACGGACTTATTTTTAGAAACAGCCACCTTATTCACTTGTCTCTTCTCTTGAAGTTTCTTTATAATTGTGACTGCATCACTAATCCAGCTTTGAGGTTGCGATGTAAGGTCAGAATTTAAACAATTAGAGGAGTAGATCTTTACAGAAGATATTGTCTCTGAATCTAATGCTCCTCCTATATCCAGCTGAGAGACAGGGCAGTGGGTGATGCAGTTTGATCTGTTAATACCCAACCTGGAGAAACTCAAGATTTCATACTGACATCTGCTGGATCCTTTGAATACTTCCTGATCTAAGTTAGAACCAGGGATTTGGGAGCAGGAGGACTCTCAAAAGGCCCCTTAAGGTGCTCTCTGACCGGAGGCGGGTCCGGCAGCATGCTGAGATATGCAACTTGAAATCAAATTTAAGATCTTTTGCTCACTGCACACATTTAGCACAATACATCCATGGCAGAATGAGGCAGGACATCTAGGGTATAATTAACAATCACTATTCTATGACAGTCTCAGCAACACAAATGCCAATTTGCTTGTCAAATTCCAAAGAGAGAGGAAGGGACCATGTGGTAACCATATAAAACAAAGTCCTTGTTTTCAGGGCTCAACTCAGCAATCTCTCTGTCCTTTGTGTAGCAGGAAAGGAAATCTTGTCAGATTCCGGCCCACTGGGCTCTAGATGCAAGTTCACTGCATGAACATCTCTCCAGAATCAAATTCGATCCAACCTGGTTCTCTGGATCTGTGGGGGAGTCTGTAAAAACATAAATGTAGATCCATGAGCCAAGAGGAGGCAGTTCAGATAACTACTGATAAGACACCAATTCCCTATGTTTGGGGTAAGCAGGATATGTCTTGTCGAAAGCTCTAGTAGTCCTTAGACTTTGTTGTTGCTTAATAAAGACAAGAAAGTGAATTACTACTTAGTAGCTACAGTTTGATAGGGAACATTTTTCTAAGAGTGGGGATTATCTTTAAAAAAATCATGACATAAATAACAAAATTTTTCTCTTTTCCATCTCATACTCTCTCAGTATAAGAAGGGGTTGTATGATTTGAGTTGATATTAGATTTTTAAGCAACTTTCACTCATATATGTCTACTGTTAGATGAATGTTCTCAGATTCTTTCTGTTGAAGGAACAGGATGAGGGAAGGGGGAAGGAGGTAAGAATTTATCAAATGGTAGACAGTTTACATGCATCCTTGGATTTCATTCTCACTATGTTATTATGCCCATTTTACAGATGAGAAATTTTGTCTCAAAGAGGTTAAATATTTTCCCCAAAATTTCATGACTAGGAAGCAGCAGACCCAGGATAGTTTTGTCTGCCTCCAAAGCCTACACTCTTTCCCTTACATAAATTGCCTACATTTGGTTTTAATTGGTGGGTAAAAATTTGAAAGTATACATAGTCTCAATGTTCGCACTTGAACCACACCTCCCTGTCTTCTGACATGAGAGAATGATGATCAGTGGGCAAAAAATGAGTTCTAAATAGATGGAGCTTTGGTTCTGTAGCCAAAGTAGGCACAGACTCAATAGCCATAGGTCAGTGGAGAGGACCCTACCAGACCCGGCATGATGGAGGGAGGCTGGCTAAGACCCTCGAGGACCTGAGCTCTGCTCAATCTCTATTCTGTTAGATGCTGGAGGCAAGTGTCCAACCAGCTCCATCTTCCTTGGCGTCTTCCTTGGCCACAGGACAGTGACTGTAAATGTCAGCTGGATCCACCCATTTACTGTGCTCTATACTGGGTACTTTAAAATACAGCAGTATAAATAGAGTTGAAGGCCAGGTGCAGTGGCTCACGCCTGTAATCCTAGCTCTCTGGGAGGCCGAGGCAGGAGGATTGTTCGAGGTCAGTTCAAAACCAGCCTGAGCAAGAGCAAGACCCCGTCTCTACTATAAATACAAAGAAATTAATTGGCCAACTAATATATATAGAAAAAAATTAGCCGAGCATGGTGGCGCATGCCTGTAGTCCCAGCCACTCGGGAGGCTGAGGCAGAAGGATTGCTTGAGCCCAGGAGTTTGAGGTTGCTGTGAGCTAGGCTGACGCCACGGCACTCACTCTAGCCTGGACAACAAAGCGAGACTCTGTCTCAAAAAAAAAAAAAAAAATAGACTTGAGAAGAACTCTCATGATTAAATGATATGATTTAATTTACTTTGTAAATGTTTATTTACACTTTGTAAATGTTTATTTTTTGTCTTTCCCTGATGTAGTAAGACAGAATACAGGTATGGGGACCATCTAGCTCTGGATTTAAATCCCAGTCAGCTGCTTACTATTTAGCATCTCTGCACCTTATCTATAAAATGAGAATAATGCCAAGCTCATGGTTGTTGTAAACGTTAGAAGTAGTAGATGGAAGGTGTCTAGCACAAGGCCTAGCACATTGAGGATACAAAACAAAATGCTAGTTATTATTGCTTTTGTTATTTGTATATTTAAAATAGTCATTGTATTATATGGATGCTATAGAGATCATGATAGACCCCAGGGTACAGATAAATGGAAGAGTAGGGAACTTCTGCCTTTGAGAAATGCACGTTTAGTCCTGGAGCCTGACACAGAAGCACATGAGGATGACAGGATAAGGGATCTTTTGTGACTGAGGTAAAGGCAAGCTTCTCTGAGGGCACCTCTTATAGTTTACTATGTATTTTACTATTAGTTAGCTTCAACATAATTATATATAGAAGCTACGAATGATACAGGGTCTAAAGATACTGGGTGTCTGTTGCCTCCATCAATGCCTCTCCAGGATAAGTCCCCAAGCCAGGCATCTCTGGGCTGAAGGTGGAAATTAGATTTCATTTCATGTGTCAACTCTGATCATTGACAGTGGGCTCCTGCATGGCCCTATTAGTGGGAATTCTGAGCAGGAAATATATTCTCATCTTATAGAAGCAATGTACTAAAGAGCTGAAGGGCTTGGCTTTTGCACCAGACTGCTCTGTTGCTTGCTTGATCTTGGACAAGTTTCTAAACTTGCTTGTGCTTTAGTGTCTTCATGTGTAAAATGCTAACAATAGCAATACATCATGGAGTTATTAGGATTAAACGATTTAATTCATTAAAGAGCTTAAATCAGTACCAAATTTAGCTATTATTATCATTATCATCATCATCATTAATTAATAATCTCTGCCAGTGAGTGGTAAGGCAGGGAAGGGTAGTGTAAGAAAAAGTACTCACCATTTGTTCCTATGGTATTGTTTGTCTAGCTCCGATCCAAATTTTCTTCTTCTGCCCTATTCTGAGTTTTGGTTTCAGTGTTTTGGTTTTCAGTTCTGTCTATATTCTACACTAGTCCATGTCACATTTTGGCCTCGCTAGCTCATAACACTTTCTTACATCAGAGCTGACGCATAACAACAGAGATTTCTCATTCTTTCTGAAATTGCAGAATCTATTCTTCAAAGTATAAACACAATCTTGACCACATATAATTTTTAATAATCTTTGTTTTTTTTTTTTTATTATTCCAGTCATTAGCTACCTAATTAAGCACCTATCTTGAATCAGACACTTTATATGCATCATCTCTGGTACTTCCAATAATCAGACAAAGTTATATTTACAAGTTAGGAAATGGAGGGTTAGGGAATTTAAGTGGTAACTCACAAATGGAAGATCTGGGATGAAAACTTTGATATTTTTGGTTCCAAAGTTTGAGTGTCTTCCTTTCTTACTGCATGCTGTGTTCTGGAACCTACTACTGTCAGCACTTGGTTCTAGCACAGGTTAGAATACAGAACTTCCCAGTGTTTGTCTCAAAGAATACTGAGAAAGATGGGAAAGTTAGCAGGACAATGGGATAGAGCTATCAGGAAGGAAATGGGCAATTAAAAATCAAGTCCAGGGACCTATGGTCTAAACCACTTCTCTACTTCTACGTAGGCATGGGAGTCAGACTGGGCTGACTGGGGGTGGCATGGTAGGGTGAGGAAGGTTCAGACCTGCAGAGCAGGCATGGCAGAGTATCTGGCACAGTGGGGACAGTGAGACTGGGTCTCAGAGAGGGGACCAGCAGAACTAGCAGGCCTGAAGCAGACAAGTACATCTATGTAACTACTGGAGTGCAGGATGGGGCTCCCATCTTTCTGGGTCCTAGATCCTCAGAAAGCACCCAAGAGAGAGGAAAAGAGGCAAATGGTAGCTTAACCTCTCCTTGGAGAATTCATTTTGCAGAAGAGCAAGGTTCCTGGAGCTTCCATTTCTAGCAGTGTGACAGATATGAGGTATCTTGATTGACACTCACTGAAAACAATGGAAAACAGTAAATAAATTACATGTCACATCTTATTAAAGGCTTTAATGTGCTGGTAAATAAATAAGAAGCCATGAACCAAGTGAAAGTAGAACCCCAAGAGGCAGACTTTTACCATGAGGACATTTGCTAAGCTGGATGAAAAGGAGCTGTGGTTTCAGAGACTTACATGGTGCTGCTGAATTAAAACAAAATCCACACCCTGCTGGATTGGGGAGTCTAAGAAGCTCCCAACAAAAATTTGGGGCTCTAAAGAATTCCATCCACAGAATAAGGGTGAGTTAGAAATAAACCCAAACATCTGACCCAGAAGGCTGAAAGGAAAACTACCTGTTTTGATTCTTGGCAACAATAGAGAGGAAAATTTGTGCCATGAGATGGCCCTCAGATGAGTTTTCAGCCTGAATTCACATTATCTGAGTGATCAAAAAAAAAAAAATCTCCAGGCCAAGAAATTTGATTAAAGTGGCCCTTTCATCAGATAAAGGCACAATTCTCTCTGGAATAAACAATTTCAAAGACCTCCAAGTATTGCCACAGATAAAGTTCTAAGACATATGAACTCAGTCTAGAAAACCCATGAGAAACAAAATAAAATATAGCACTCGGAGAAAGAGTCAGAAATAAAAATGAGAAGAACTGACTTACACTGAATATAGATATCTAGCTTATCAGATAAAATATTTAATTATTAGAAAAATAAAAAGGAGATTCACAATATTTGAAAAGAGCAAGACTTTTTAAAATGATCAAATGGGTTAAAATATACACAATAGCACTTCTAAAATAGAAAAAAATAAAATAATTAAAACAAGAATTCAATAAATGGTTTTAAAAGCAGATTAGAAGCAGCTGGATAGTGAACTGATGAACTGGAAGATATATTTGAAAAAAGTATACAATTAATAGTCTTTGATGGACAAAATGGAAGAAAAGTCAAGAAAAATTAAGTATAGAGTCGATAGGTTCAACATACATTAAACTAGAATTCCAGAAGAGGAGGAAAGAGAGAATTGGGTGGAGATCATATTTGAAGAAGTAAGAGTTCAAAATTTCCAATACTGGTGAAAGATATTATCCCTCCATTCAGAAACTCTATGATTTCCCAGCAGGATAAATAAAAATAAATCCACAGGCAGATATCTAGAAATGAAACTGCAGAACATCAAAGACAAAGGCAATATCTTCAAGGTAGACAGAAGAAAAAACAAGGAGATTACTTTAAAAGGGATGATAATTAGAAAAGCAGCTAGTTTCTCAACAGCAAAAAAGAAAGCTATAAGTGTAACGCTATTGTCAGTGTACTGTGTATTAGTTTTCTATCGCCATCATAACAAATTACTGCAAATCTAGCAGCTTAATACAACAATGTATCGTCTCATGGTTCTGTGGGTCTGAAGTCCAACTGAGTTCAGCCAGTTTCTCTGCTCTGAGTTTCACAAAGCTGAAACCCAGCTGTCAGCCCACTGACAACTCTTACTGGGAGGCTCTGGGAAAAATCCATTTCCAAGCTCATTGTGGTTGTTGGCACAATCCAGTTCCTTGCAGCTGTAGGACCAAAGTTGCAGTTTCTTTGCTGGTTGGCAGCTGGAGGTAGCCCTCAGATCCTAGAGGCCTCTCTCTAGTCTTTGCACATGGGCACCTCTATATCAGAACTGGCAATAGAAACTCAAACTCTTTTCACACTGGGCATCTTTGGGACTTTTGCTCTGCTCTATTTTTCTTCTTTCTCTTTTGCTGCATAATCTCTGACTGAAGGCAGAGAAAAATCCTCTGCTTTTAAAGCCTCCAGTAGTTAGATTGGATCTACCTGGATGCCCCAGGATACTCTCCTTCTTTAAAGACCAATAACCTTAATTACATCTGCAAATTTCCTTTTATCATGTCATGTAACCTATTCACAGGTTGCAGGCATTAGAGTGTGGACATCTTTGGGGAGGGGACATTATTCTGTCTACCACATACTGAGAGAAAGTAACTATTTATTTGGAAATATTTTTCAAGATTAAAAGGAGAATGACTCTTTTAGATAACAATAACTCAGAAAATTTGTCATCAAACAACTCTTACTAAAGAAAACTCTAAAGAATATATTTTAAGCAGAAGAAATGTGATCCTAGAAGGAAAGGCTGGGGTACAAGAAGGAATGAAAAATAAAGCAAGCAGTACATTGTATAAATCAGTAATAAGAGTGTTTTGCAGATTAAGAAAAATAAACTTAAATTAAGATATATAACAATGATAATGCCTAAACTGGGTGGAATGAATGTATTCTGAGGTCTTCATATGTGTTCTTTGTATGCAAATAGACTTACTATGGAGGATGTACTTCAGGCAGAAGAACCCTACAGTGTTTCTTGGTCATTGGCTAAATCTCTTCCTTGTTTTATCATCCATGTTGGGTTTTGTTATCAAAGTTATGCTGTCTTCTTTGTAAAAGTTATATAAGTTTCTTTCTGGAATAATTTGTAAAGTAGGAATATTTTGAATAATCAGTAAAATTTATCAGTAAGATAATCTACTGTTCTTCAGGGGAAGATTTTTAAAGTATCAATTTAATTTATTTAGAGATTATTGGACTATTCACTTTTTTTTCCCCTATGGTCAGTTTTAGTAAATTGTAGTTTTGGAAGATTTTGTAATTCATGTTTCAATTATTTATTGGCTTAAGAATTTCAGGATATCCCCTCATTACCTATTAAATTCTACTGAATCAGAATTCATGTCCCATTACTCATTTCTAGTATTTTTGAGCTTTTATCTTTTGTATTGATCAGGTTGTCCAGAAATTTGTAATTCTATTAGCCTATTTAAAGAACTAATTCATGTTTTTATATATTTTCTCTATTACATGTTAATTTCATATTTCTTTAAAAAAATCCTTATTATTCCTTTGGTATGGTAGGCATGTTCAGGTATATGGGGTTTTTTTGTCCTTTTGTTTTTTCTTTCTTTTAATCTTTCTGTATCCTTATATTTTAGCAATATTTTTTCCAGCCATCATAGTAAAATGCATCTAAAACTTAAAAGTGCATGAAATCCTTTGTCTAAATGAAATTTTTCAAGAGTCTTGTGGTCTTCTCAGGCTAGAGGTTTCTGCAAGTATTTATAGGAACAAAGTCCACTGGGCCTGAGACCACAGACATATATTTGCTCAAGTTCTGATATGATTTCCAGGAATGGGGGAGGGGGGGGGATGATCCACCAGAATATAGGGTTGAAGTCTCAAAATGCTTCTTAGATGTGAAGAGAAAGTAAACTACCCAAGAATTAGTTTTATCCTTAGGGAATTTTATTTGTATTTTTGGAGACAGGAATAAAATAAGTTAAATAAAGAACTTTAGAATGCCGCCAAGAACAGAGCAATTTTTTGTACACTTTCTAAAGTTATTTGTCCATAAATAGGTGAAGTCCAATACAGAGTCTTATGGTAAATACAAGGTAAATACAAGTCTTATGGTAAATACAAGGTTTGTCCCTTTGATTCAGAGGAAAGGAAATACATCACACATTTGTATATAATTGATAAGGGGGTGAGATAGTCTAACACTATTAGAAGAGGAATAAAAGAGACATTAAAACCACTCTTCTTCAATGAAATATCACCTGATGTCTTTCAAAGCCCAGTTTGATATTTTTAAGTCTATATACAAGTATTTCTAGGCACATTTATGTTATTAAGAGTAAAAGAGAAAAATATCATGGTTTTACCTTATATCACACCCAAATAAGACCAAAAGCATCATCTTGCCAACTTTTTATCAAAGAGGTGCCGTCAGGGATCAAATCAAGTAAGATGATTTATAAGTTAGTTCAGATATTTCCATAGGACCAGGGGAAGATCCACATAATATGTTCAGATAATTTCTTGACTTTTTTTCCCAATTAAGAAGTATGATACTTCATAGTTTTTATATCAATGATATGGAATTTTGGAATACCTAAGGCAACTATCGTAATGAAGAATATTGCTCATTGCTCATTAATGAGGCTATACCAGGAACTAGCTAGGCAAGAGGCAGATTTTTTTTCAAGGCCTCATAGGAATAGAGGGAAGCCCCCATTCAGCCTCTATTCTGGATGCGTATATTTTAAAAAGAAAGTTCAGAGTTGAGTTCAGCTTCAGTGAGAGATGCCACAGTCATTCACAGGGAGTGTGTCGGAGAAGAATGTAAATAACAGTCATCAAGGAAGCATTGATACAGACAAAGGCAGAAATGGATTTCATATACTCCAGATGTTCCATAGGAAGTAATGGAGACATCTTGCATTCTCCAGATCAGTTCTTGATCCACATTTTAAGTGACGAGTTGAAGGGACATGTCATGCTTGTGTTTATCTTCAATCAGGGATGGAATTTAATCAGTGGATGACATGATGTGATCTCAGAAAGCCACTTTGCACATTATTCA